CCTCCTCCTCCTTCCCTATCGTTTTTCAGTTGTTTTTCATCTAATATAAGGGTGCGCTGACCACGGGCTGCGTCCTGGCCTTCCTGTTCCTGTCCCCCCTTGTCAATTATTTGTATTGTTTTTATTGTCTATTCATGTTTTTTCTTGGAATGGGTCGAACAAAACTAAATTTCGTATCACCTTCCCTGGTGCATATGACAATAAAGAGATTCTGATTCTGATAAAAGCTGGCAGAGCTGCAGCATTGACAGAAGTCACTCATATCTTCCCAAGCATTTGTTAGATTTCAGTGGTTTTCACATTGGTTTGGGTCTGAAAGCAATAAGCTGCTAAGACACCAAAGGCCTTCCCAAGTATACACATTTACATATCCCCAAACATTCAAAGATAATTTATCTTAAATTTTCTTCATACCAACTTCCCAGATGACTCCCTGCTGTTCCAAAACACCTCTACTCCCTGGGAACAATGGGAAGACTCCCTTGATCTACATAACCCCCTGTTGTTTGCCGGACCTCAAGGCTCCATCCACTTCCTTTGTGATAACACCTTGCTCAGTGACAAAAGGATTAAACTACAAAGTCATATCCTCCACCACCGCTGAATCATGAAGCAGCAGCGCCACATAGTGGTGACTACAGGCACAACCATGGTCAGTTACCAGGACAATAACAATAATATGATTGGCCAGAAGAGGCTTAACCTCTCTCCTCCATTGGCCTACCACATTTACACACACCCGGGAAGTTGAAAACCACTCCCCCCACACAGGTATTAAAGTACAAACCACTGATGATGCATCAGAAGTTATTCTAGAAAGTTATTCTAAGAAGTTATTCTCAAAATAAGTTAGTTCTTGAATTTGCATATTAGCAACTGTTTTACAAGATTTTCAAGAGTTTGTTTTGGCGTTTTATTATTAAACGAATCGACCATCTACCGGCTGTTTCATTCCTTGCCTGAGACTACCTACGAGGTGAATTCTTCAATTTTGGTGCTGTGACTACGGAGAGAAGAAATCCTCCAATTGGTGTCGTGCTCACAAACAAAGAAGAGCCAAATCGTTCAACTGTGCCATGAACCGGATCGAAACATAGCAAGAATCTTTCACATTCATCTTTTGACTGCTTAATTTCAAGCCTGTTCCTGCAGCTCCACTTTTGCGAACTGATAGCCACCGTCTATCCATTCTGTTGTATACGCTGCATTGACTCAGCTCCCTGTGGAAGGATTTATTCTTGTTGTGTTTCCAGAATATGCAAAAATGCTGCCACCTCTTAAAAACTACAAAAATAAAACAAATACTATTTACTGACCTCATTTGCATTGTGTCTGCAAATCGGCTTCAGTCTAACATCAACATTTTTATAAGGTGTGATAAATGCTTTATAACAGTTTAACAGCCAACCCCAACATAACACAAACTAATTCTGTTATGTCCTGTGTATAAAACAGGAACTGCCTGGTGGGTGAGAACCTGCTGGTGAAGATCGGGGACTTTGGCATGTCCAGAGACGTCTATAGCACTGACTACTACAGGGTAGGTGCATGTGTCAATATATTTTCTATCCTTTTTTGAGACTCCTCCTAGCTGCATGAGGTGCTTCCATGCCCCTCCCCTGCATGGGCATGACTCAAAGAGTTGCAGTAAGGCATTTGCCATGTAAACAACCTCTACAGTGGCATAACACTTAATAAATACAGGATGTAACGGAATGAAATTCAGGAGAGCAGCTCCATGTATTGTGTGTGAGTTTAGGTCAGAGCTAGTTTAATGTAAAAGTGTCTTGTTATTGCAGTGTTTTCTGGCACTGCAGGGTTTTCCTTTTTTTTTTTTTTCTTCTTATTTATTTTCTTCAACCCTTGTAAGGTCCAATATGTTTTGTGTCAGTGTGTGTGTATGTGTTTGTGTGCATGAGTATGTGTGCATTAGCATGTTCCTGTACCATGACTTGTGCCAACTTTTCCTCATATTCATTAATACTCAAATTCTGGGACAAGATGAAAATCATTGCAAGGACAAACGGTGTGTACAAAAATGAGAAAGACCGCACAAGGGTTAAAAATGTACTTTGTTCATCCGTCTGTTCACGGGGGACCTGGCTAATGAGACAGCCGCACAACAGGACCAGACACATTTTAACAGGCTTCCTATTAGTTCTTTTAATATAAATAAAAAAAGTCATATTTGAGTCAACAATATGCCAATAAAAGGTGTGCCGGTTAAACTCTCTTGAACTCATGTTGAAGGAAATACTTTTTTTCTTTTCTACTAAGAAACACTCACCTAGCTCCACACTGCAGGGAGAAAAATATCCTTTGTTGTTTTGCAGAAAGGTAGGAGAAAATAAAATATGGCAGGGTCATTCAGCCGCTCTCTTGAGAATGTCAAGATAACTCAGGAATACAAGAAACAGCTGAGTGTGTGTTTTTTCTGCTCTGTCACCTTTCCAAAACGGCAAATTATAATAAATCCTTGTGATTGATTCATAGCGACTGTCCATTTTTTTTCCATCCTTTCTGCCATCTGCTCTGCCAAAGTGACATGAACGAATGTGACACAGTACAGAGGGCAAAGATGAGGGAGAAGAGAATCTTAGAACAGCTGTTCACAGAAGAGTACAATCTTCAAATGGTTTCAAATTAAATGTTAAAATGATAATGATCATTTTTAAGATCTTTGTCTGCAGGTACGGTCGCAATTCATAGATGGGTCTTTTTGATTTGTGTGTAAGGACTGTGTGGTTATATATGAACAAAACTTGGTGGTAATATATCCTAGAATATAAACGCTCAACATACAAAATATAACCAAACTTTGGGGGCTCAGAGCTGTATGTCTTCTTGTCTTCTGAGGATGGTTTAATGATTCACCAATGATTTTGACCCTTGCTGTCGATGGTCAGACTATGACAGATGGTTGAGTGTGTTGTATGTAGAGAGAGAGAAAGACAGAGTACAATAGAGAGGTGTATGTTCACAAGTGCATTTCAGGCAACAGTCATTCAATGGTACATGAAATGCTAAAAAATATTGCCGCAGATGTGTTTAGTCAGCCAGTCTATGTAGAAACGTCACCACACATTTGTGCTTCTGAACCAGTCTCTTCTTCTTTTTCTTTCGGCTTTGTCCCTTTTTCAGGGGTTGCCACAGCAAATCATTGATTTCCAGCTCTCCCTGTTCTCTGCATCTTCTACTCTGACTCCAACTATCTCCATGTCCTCCCTCACTGCATCCATATATCTCCTCTTTGGCCTTCCTCTCTTTCCCCTACCTGGTAGCTCCATCTCTAACATTCTTCTACCAATGTATCCACTGTCCCTCCTCTGCACATGTCCAAACCATCTCAATTTGGCTTCTCTAGCTTTTTCTCCAAACCTTCCTGTCTGTGTTGTCCCTCTAATGACCTCATTCCTGATCCTGTCCATTCTTGTCACTCCTAAAGAGAATCTTAGCATCTTTAACTCTGCCCCCTCCAGCTCC